ACAGCAGCGCATATCATCAGCTTCCGCCGGCTGGTGTAGCCCAACAGCAGGGTCAGCCCAACCACAACTCAATGCCAGTGCCGCCACTCACCCGCGGCATGTCGGCCATATCCTTGATGCCGGGCGCCGTCGGCGGCGTCGGCGGTAGGGCCATGGTCTCTATGCCGAGCCCGTGGGGCGTCGCCTCAAGCGGCGGCGCCAGCAGCACCGCCAGCACCATGTATGCTGCGGCGGTGCCGGAGGCGCCGGCGACGCCGGTGCAGCATCAGCCGCAGCCGCAGCAGCAGCAGCCTGCCGGTGCCGCTGTCGACGCGCGCACGGTTACCCCCTCGTCGCCCAAGCAGCAGCAGCCGGCGGCACTCCGTCGCGCGCACAGTACGATCGACCACACGACTCGAAGCCAGCCGGATGCGCCTAGCGGCCCGCCGGTATGCGCCGAGTTCGGGGTACCGTAAAGTACTAGGTTACTACACGATATTGATGCATTTGCGAATGGGGCATGGGGAAGGAGGGTGGGGGCCAGTATCAGTCCGTGCCTAAAAAATGCGTGACACTCAGAGGGATAGATGGGAAAGGGAGGGGAAGAGGTTGCTCTTAAGGTTGCTCGGGAATTCTGGGTTGTGCGGCAGTTTAAAACCCTGTCCGGAGGGGAATTGGATAGCCCCCCGTGGTTGCTGGAAACCTTCTCTTTAACGAGCTTTCCGCCGTTGCATGCGACAGTCTTTCTGATTATGGTTTGATAATGGTGTTGTTGTACTTGAGATGTCTTCTTCCTTGGCGGGCTTTCGTGATTGGTGGTGTGCAACCCCCTGCCTTTCACCCCCCGCAGGGAGTGCTTATCGCGCTTGGCGCCAGCCTGCCTTCGGAGATGCAGCGCAAGGAGTGGCGGATCGAGGACTTTACAATGCTGAAGAGGCTTTACAAAGGTGAGGAACTTGATAGTGCTGCGGCAACAGCCGCGTTGCTGCTGAAAAACTTTAGGGTAGGTTTTTAGGGTGGACCGGAGCGGCGTGGATGGCCGCACAACCGAGCGTTTGATGGCCGCACAACCTCACGTTATAGGAGATGTACAGGCTTGGGACATAATTGTTTGTTCAGTTTCCCACATGCTATCTAGCTATATCCCTAGGCGTTAGGTGAAATGCTGAGGGATGCGCCGTAACAGTTCAGGATTACCATCATCTTGTTGCAATACTATGTTTTGAACGGACTCTTTAATGCTGCCTTTTTCTTTTCATTTCTTACCCTGAAACTGGCTTATTTGTGTTAGGTTGCATTGTTGGCTGGTTATCGTCATTTGTACGCGTGCGCGGTTACTTGCTTGCTACTCTCCTTACATCTTTCGCAAGCTTACATTTCTTTAAAATTAAAATTTTGTTATTCAGGAAATTACAGCGCTGTCCACAAGGCTTTGTGCCGTATCTCAATGCGGCTGGTTGTCATCAAGGTAAGACCGTAAGACAGCACCGATTGGACGTTTTGGGGTTTTTGCTAACGTGATATCTTGAGCTTCTAAACCTATATCGCGCATATTGGGACCTGGCTTACGTGAGTCAACCGATCGCAATCGAATGACTGATCGCAGAATCGTAGAACTTCTCTCAGAGTCTTGTGGGATTTATATTCACTTTGAGCGCAGCCACTGCACTACCTCACTTATTATAAGAAATCTCCGATATGTCGTTGAAACAAATAGATTGTCCTTTGGGGTTCCAATATAATCATATACTCCTTGACATCACTCCTGCCAGCTCCTTTCACATCTCAACCACTACCCACCTACCATTTGCGCCGACCATTACGCCCTATCAAAGCAATGGCAGTAAGAGCCCGACAACTAATCGAAAGCCCCAAACCTTCCCCAACCCAAACACTGCAATGCCCGAAATTCCCGGCTCTGCTCTGTACGGCAGACGTACGATACTACCCGCATGACAGAGCTCGCCAGGTAGGTAACTATCTGGGCCAATGAAAGGGGATGGAGGAGTTGATTGAGTCACGTGTGTGTAATACATATATGTATGTATATATATTTGTATATATTTAAATGGGGGGCCATGTGGAACCCGTGTATTTGGCTGGAGGTTGGGGCAGCATGTGACGCGTTCTGACGTCCCAAGGCAAGTATGTGTGTGTGTGTGGGGGGGGAGGGGGTGTTGCTCTCCTTCTGTCCCCCTTCTATCCTCTCTCACCTCTCATCACTTCTCTTAAATCAAAATGCAAAACACTCACTCCTCCCCTTTCCCCCCCCCTTCCGGGGTTCTGCTCGTTCTTTCTCCTCCCCTCCCCTCAGGAACCACGTCAAGCGCGAGGCCTCCCTTCACGCCCCCCTGGAGCACGACAACATCCTCAACCTGTATGCCGTATTCTCACAGGCGAGTAGGTGGCCTGACTGCCCGGCTGGCCTCCTCCTCCGCGTCCTCCTTCCTCTGTATATCCACCCCTTCATCGTATGCTACCAGGCGGTCCTCTCCTTTCCCCCCTTCTCATTTCAGTCTCTCATGCCACCCTGCTACCGCTACCGCGTATCGGTAGGCCTCCGGAAAACTCCTATATAGTCCCCACATGCACGCGTTCCCGCCGTTGGGTATCGTACACTACTGCAGGGGCCTTATGTCATGCTGGTCGAGGAGGTTGCGGAGGGCGGTGATCTGTACCACGTGCTGAAGGTACTGCACTGTACGACAGGGGAGGGGGAAGGGGAAGATAACCGGGGGGTGGGTGGGAGGAGTTGGGGAACTTGGACAGGGAGAGGCGGGTGGGGTTGGGTGTGTGTGTGTGTGTGTGTGTAGGGGAGCAGCACGGTGTGTTTGCCTGAGAGTTTGTGGATGGAAGGAGGTGGCGAGATGTACGCTGAGTGTGCAGATTCGGAACGGCAGCCGGGATAGGGCGTTTGTGGCTGGGTTCCTTGCAGGTTTGGAGAGGATGGGCGAGCAGAGTACACCAACGCCCTTTCCCATGGTTCATGCCCCTCTCTCTACCTGTTCACCCTTGTCCGGTCTCCCCCCCTTCCTTCCCCCCTTCACCCCTTGTCCGGTCTCCCCCCTTCCTCCCCCCCTTCACCCCTGTCCGGTCTCCCCCCTTCCTCACCCCCTTCACCCCGCCCCTCCCAGAGCATTCCGGGCCACAGACTCCAGGAGGACCGTGCTGTGGCAGGGGTGCTCGTACCGCTGCTGAGATCTCTGTCGTACCTTCACGAGCAAGGGATCTGCCACAGAGACATCAAGCTGGAAAACATTCTGGTGCGTACGTATATATGTATGTATGTATGCATGTATCTTTATATAGTATCAGGAGGAGCTGGATTAAGGAGTATAGTAGTATAGCAGTATGCGGCAGTAGCTGCTTGCAGTACTGTCAGCCGTGTGCGTGTGTGTGTGTGTGTGTGGGGGGGGGGGTGTTGGCTGATTGGGGAACTCGTTCCAGTAGATGGATGGAAGAGCTCCGGCCATATAAACTACAATCTTTTTATTGTCTGCATATGACATACGACGGTGCTCAGGAGCACTGATACGGCCAATGTCCAGGCGCCCTCGGGACACCTCCACATCTTCGCATGTCTCCCGTTCGAAACCCATTTCCAGAATGATTTTGGTGAACTGTCACGCAGTCATTACCCCCTTTGAAAACTCCCGTTTATATCTCTTTCCCCCTCAAACATAACTTCCCCCTCACTGCACCTACAGTTTGCCGACCGGCAACACACGAGGATGCTTCTGGCGGATTTTGGAATAGCATTGTCACTGCGGCAGGAGCGAGCTGTCACCCGAGCAGGTCGGTGCGTGTGTGTGGGTGTGTGGGTGTGTGGCTCAGATAGGCTCTGTGTATGATGTGCGGGACAGGGGGGTCATATCTTCACCCTGCGGTCGCTACCCGGCGAAACCCTGCCTTCCCCGGTATTTCGAGGCACCCTCGTCCAGTCACCCTAGTCAACTTCTCAGTGGATCGCTCCGGTTCCGCACCACCAGCATCCAACGGAATCTGCCGGGTCGACAGCGGCCCAACTCCATTCCTGGTCGGCTCGCAGGTTAACTTTATCCCAGGTCACCACCGTCCATCAACTAGGGGCATTTTTACCTTCCACCATCGGAAGGATTTTCGACCCTGACAGGCCTCTTGCGTATGTATGTACGTGTGTGTTTGTATGTATGTGCATCTGCCAACTTCCTTTTCCTCCAACTACCTAGGCCCTTTAGTTCTTTCCTCTTCCTCCTTTTGCTCTAAAGCTCTTGTTGTGTGTATATATATGTATGTGTGTATGTCTGTGTGTATGTGTATGTGTACGTGTATGTGTATGTGTATGTGTGTATGTCTGTCGTTGCTCAGGCACCACCGAGTACATGTCCCCCGAGCAGCTGCGTTGCCCGTTTAAGCGCCACCCCTCAGACAACAAGGACCGGGAGGACCTCCATTACGGCCTGGGGGTAGATGGTGAGGACTCGCCGGGGGCCGTCGGGGTTTAGGGTTTTAGCGAGTACCTGGAGATGTACGGGACCACCTGAAGGATGATGACGTAGGACAGAGGGTTTTTGATAAATCCAGTCTGTACATCGAACCCCCCAAACCCCCGGGGGTGACTTTCTTCCCGGGGCAAGCACCCCCCAAACCCCCGCCCTCGGCGCGCTGCTTATTCCCAAACCCCCTTCCACCCATCCACCCAAATCGTATTTTTTCCTAACGTGCAAACCTCCGCTGCTGGGGCTGGTGTCGGGCGATGCTGTGCGCCTGTTGTGGGCCTCTTGGCGTTCTCCACCCACACCATCCCTCTTGCCTTCCCCCCCAAACACACAGATGATGAAAACAGCATTTGGCATTACCCTCATTGCGGCTCAGGTCAATAAAACACCCACCCATCCATCCATCCATCCATCCATCCATCCATCCATCCATGCATCCATCCATCCACCCACCCACCTACCGCAAGGCGCCGCACGGCACAGCGTCCACCGCACACAAACACACACACACACACCTCTGGTCCCCTCTGCGGCCCACTCGCAGTCTGGGCTACGGGAGTGTTGGCCTTCGAGCTGCTCCACGGCTACCCGCCCTTCTTGGGCAGCCACCGCGAGGAGACGGAGCAGCTCATCATGACAGCCGAGGTGCAGCTCAGCCCGCAGGTGCCCCGCATGGGTGTGTGTGTGGGGGGGGTATGTGGAGTGGGGGTGTATGGAGTGGGGTTGTAAGGGGATGCGGGTTGGTTGGGGCGGGGAAGTTGCTTTGCAATAACGATGTGTGTGTATGTGTGTATTTTGATCTGCACGGCGTTGCTTGGATACTTTTGTGTTGCCTTAACAATTCAGTGAAGTGCCTCTTTAGTACCTCGTCATTCATTTTGTAACTTCAGTACACGCATTCATTGTACCGCTGGTAAAAACCCGTGTGGAGTTGTTTAATATCATCATTCAACTCACCATTGCCCTTTCCCCTTTTCCCGCCGCCGCCGCCGCCGCCGCCCCCCTCTTACCCGCCACCAACAACCAACAGCTCTCACACGGCGCCCGCGACTTCATCCTTTCCTGCCTCCGCAAGGAGTCCGCGGACCGGCCCACCGTGAATCAGCTGCTCCAGCACACCTGGATCCGGCAGCACACGCGGCCGCTGAGGTGATTTGATGAATCACCGCACGGCGTGGCGTTGCGTGTGTAGGTGGAGCTCTCATTTCAGGTTTATTGGTGTGACTCCTAATTAGGCATCAGGTGGACCACAGAGCCACAGAGCCTGCCGGTACTCTGGTTCTCGTTCCTAAACAGGCATACAAGATACCCCATCAGGTCTTTTGTCGGTATCAGCCCATATCGGGCCACCCCGGGTTGGATCGGCGGTGGATTGGGGGCCTCGTCGCCGGTGCCTATTTAGGAAACTGGAGGGGGCCATGTCGATGTGTTGTTTTCGGCAGCGGGAAAGGCAGCAAGGGGAGGTTAGCGAGAGGTCGGGCGGGTGGTGGGGGAGGGGGGAGATAGACATGGCCATAGCTCAGCCACCCCACCCAAGGCTCTCAGCAAGAGACCCTCCCCCTCCCCTTCCAAGGCCGGGGGCGCTTTGGGCTGGGCCGGGCTGTGGTAGCGGAGGTGCAGGTGGTCGTGGAGAATATTCTAGAGAAGTATATCTCCGGAGGCCTCCACACCGTACCGTACTGTACTGTACCGTACTGTACCGCACCAGTATAGCGGTGGGAATTGTCATTGTGTGGGTTGCAGGGATGGTGGAAAGCTGGGTGTCGTGTGGGCTGTTGCCTGTGTTTTATTTTCCCCCCATCCTCGCTCCCCGGCCCACCCCACCCCACCCCACCCCACCATCATCATTATCATCACAAGATGGCGGAGTGCATGACAGCTGTTGGGGAGGGAGGTTGGGGCAGCAGGGACGTCCTATCGAGGGGAGGGCCGGTCTTGTAGTGGGAGTGGGGTCTCGGCTCTCGGTCCGCGTGGTGGCCACTCCCCCCCCCCACCCCCCCCCGGTAGAGGGGGAGCAGTGGGGGAATCTCGCGGCAGCGGTGGTGGTGATGGCGGCGGCGGCGGCCCGGGTGTTTTGCCGTGCCGCTGTGGGCGCTCAACTCAGGACGGCGGTCTGGCTGCACCAGCAAATTGCGATATGACTGATGCCCCCATGCGTGGGATTTCTTAGTCACCGAGAATGGGTGGCGGGCTTGGGTTGGATAGTGAGACGGTGTGTGATTTCGTGGATGTGATGATAGGAACTCAAGTAGTCTTTATGAGTGCGTGTGTATAAGTATGTATGTATGTATGTATGTTCTCTATGTTGATGTGCCTGCTCTTGTGATTATTATATCCGTGCGTGCGTGCTGTCCTATGTGGGCCTTGCGCTCCCTAGGTGTGCTAGAAGTCATTAGTAGCTCCGGACCTGCCGAGAAAGAGGTTTCTAGCATTTTAATTTTTTTTGCGTTCGTGGTACGGCAGGGTTGGAAGTACGGCAAGGAAAAACAACATTGCAGGAAGGCATTTTCGCAGGTCTCGAGAGCTTGCGTGTGGTGAGTATGTTCACCCATGCACACCCATGCATGCGTGCATGTACACGTGGTGCGGAGATTTTTAATAGTAATGTCAATGTACGGCACCGTACGCATGGACGTTTGTGTGTGTATGTGTGTGTACCTTTGATCGGCAGCGTTACGAGGATAGACTTCCGTTCCTTCCATCATCACCACCTAGGTTGACCGTTTTTACGGGAGCCTTACAGAAAGGGAAATATGTCCCCTCCTCCAACCCGCCTACTCGCCCATGCTATCCCTAAGCTTTTTGCATCTCCGGGAAAGGTTGTGCGGTGAATGCGGTGATGGGACCTTGCCATGGATGTGCAGTAGCGCTGTGCGTCGTACTATTAAAATGTACGGCCGACCCCCGTATGTCGAGTAGACTAGTGTCGTTGGGGGGGGAGCTGTGGCGGGGCATCGGTGTCGCCCCCCGTGTTTGCTCCTGCTCCTGCTCCTGCCCACAGGCGACAAGGGGAGGGAGGGGGTGGACCGAAGCTTCATGGGAAGACCCAAGGGGGGGGTTTCTGTGGTTAGGAATCGATTTAGCTTGATGATGATGCTAATGATAATGAAGAAATGTGACGAGTGGGTACGAAGGGGGGAGGAGGATGAGGGGCGCTGCACAGCACACATAAGGCAAGGGGGTGCTACTGCTGCTGTTGTTACTGGTGCTGGTGCTACTGGTATCGTTGCGGCTGTTGTGCCACACCGTTTGTGTTCACGTTACTTTCGCTACCTGATGCTAATTGCTGAGCGGCTCGGGGTGCAACCCTAAAAAGCTCCCGGCCTGAGTTTGTTTGACACGTGGTGAGGGCCACAGCGGTGATAACTGTGCAGCGAATGAGGCGGTGGTGATGGCGGTGGTGATGGCGGTGGTGATGGCGGTGGTGATGGCGGTGAATTTAGGACGCTCACGTGCGATGTCCTGTCCCAGTCGTGGAGAAGAAGAAGGAGGAGTAGGAGAAGGAGTAGGAATGGTAGGAGGAGCAGTAGGTGGAGAAGGAAGAGGAGGAGAAAATGTAGTAGGTTAATGCCTGGAGGGAGGCATGCTGGGGAATTTGGAGATGGTGGTGATATTGGTGTAAAAATAATGGTGTTGTTTTTATTATGCTGTTAGTGGTGGCATTGGCAATAATTGTTACGATGGTTGCGATGTTTCGTGGTGATGCTGGTGATGTGGCTGTAGTTTAGCTCTTCCTGATCAGGCTATTGGTCGTGTTATTGGTGTTGTTGTTGTGGTTGTCGTTGTCCATTAAGCTCGGGAGAGTGGAGAGGCGCTGTCCGACATCCAGGCATCTGCATCATTATCTTCATCGTCTCGTAACCGTCATCTGCAGACCTACCTGCTAAGACGAACAATGCTCTTTTTCCCCCAGTGGAGAGTGTTGACGATGTTGAGCGTGAACGAGAGCAACCGCGCTTCAGAAGTAGAGAGCCAGGGGGGTGAATGCGGTGATGGGGCTCGCGGTGATGGACCGTACAAGTCGCCACCCATGGGCCCCCCGAGGACCCCCTCGACCCGGGAGTCACACAGGGCACACAACACACATTTGCACACACGCACGCACACACATACATACACAAAAGCACACACACACACACAAAAGCACACACACACTCACACGCACACGCACACGCACACGCGCGCGCACAGAGGGCTGGGGAAAACACACACCTACACGGTGTATGTATGTATGTATGTATGTATGTATGTATGTATGTATGTATGTATGTGTCCGCAGAGATGATGACGGCCTTTACTGGAAAGGCCTTTACCAGCAGCTCTGAACGTTCGTGTATCTCTGGGTGCTTGTTTGTATGTATGTGTGTGTATGTATGTGTGTGTCCTGCATGACGAGGAAAAGTTAAGAGCTACCTTACCCGCGCTGTGGGTCGGCAAGTGGGGCTGTGCTAGGTGGCTGTCTCCATACCCTCTGGCCTTGTGAGCCTTCCGTGAACACTTGGAGAGGGTATTATGTACGTACGTATGTATGTGCGTATGCATGTATGTGCGTATGTATGTATGCATATGTGGGTGTGTGGGTGTGCATATGTGTATACGGGGGACTCGACTATGTATGTATGCATGTGTGGGTGTGCATATGTGTATACGGGGGACTCGACTCGAACTAACGGGACTATTCTACTGGTTTTGAGCCCCGGGGGGTTCCTTCCTAGGCTGAACAGTTCGCAGCGTGTGTACCGCCAGGCCTCGACTCCGGAAGGCAGAGCAGGAGGCAGAGCTGGAACACGCGAACGGAGGATTGATTTAAAGGTACATAATTTCTTGCAGGCATGCCCTAAAGAACAGGCTACGGAACGATGTGTGTTTCTACGACACGTTCCGAACCATAAATATACTGTTTTTTGTACGTGCGCTGTTTGAAAGCAACAACTGCGGGTGCCTCGAGTGAGAGCGCGCGCGGGTGCCCTCTGCAGCGGATGCGGAGGGCTTGCTGCCCGAAGCGGCCTCTGTGGAAGCTTCTAGATCTGCGGAGCAGTTTTGCCTTGAATCGCGTTGCTCTCCGGCTGCTGGCTGCGGTGCAGCCGAGAATACGTGACGGGGTTGGGGGGAAAGGTCCCTTGGGGGCTCGACCATGGCTCAGGTCAGCGTGTATGTATGTATGTATGTGCAAGTGGGGGGAGGGGGAAACGGAGGGGACACCACAAGTGGCGTTTGAATTATTTATTATTTGACCAGGCTGTTGCGGATGTGCGTATGGGTGTTGAGCACCTTCAGACAGGAGGGTCCTCAAGAAGTTTTAGCGTCCGGCAGGCAAATTGGTCATGTACGGGCGAGTGGATGGTTAGGAAGGTTTGGTTGGCCGCCACCAAACTGTTTTTTTCCTTTTGGGCCTTTTACTGTCGGTGCTATATATTGCGTACTTGGTGTGGTCAGCTTTGAGTACCCGGATCATGGCTTTAAGTGTTCTGCCGTCAGCGCGATGTTTTAATGGAAGCTGTTGCTGGGAAATCACCGCCTTGCTGCTGCGCGTCAGCCTTGCCTTTTATGCTCGTAATGCACGATGGTTGAAGCAATCAAGGCGATGAGACACTTGCACAATCCTTGATCCCAGGGACGCTTAAAAATACAATGCTGCTGCTAGCAATCATGCTGAGGAAATAATAAGTATACGCAGGAAGGTCCGTTAAATCGCTTTGACGCGGCTCTATTGCGTTGGCAGATGTAATGCAATGGCCTGTAGTAGATGGCCATGTTGGATTTTTGACGTTTTCAGACCCTTTTTCACCGCTGGCAGGAAGCCAAGAGGAACAGCGTACGCTCGCTTGTCAATTATTACCGGCCTATGCCGCCGTTGAAGCCTCTCGGCACTGCCCCCCAGCTTTTCGTTCCCATGCTTTCCTTGCGAGATCGATATCGCAGGAAATTTAGGTCGCCGAATCCGCCGCGAGCTCGTTGCATCGCCGTACCTAGTACTGATTGTACAGGACACCTGTTTTATGCTTCCAAGAGACTCGAGGTTCGAATCCTCTTGGAAACTCCCTTGAAGCGCTGTTGAAAATGCTATCCATAAATCCTATATCGGACCTGTGGCTTTCGTAGCAAGATATGGACTGATGCTTTGGGCAATATATCGATTGAACTCATTATTTACGGAGCATGTACGGAGCAGGTTTAATAGTTCGTCGAGGCAAGTGAGTGATGAGAGCATTGCCGAATTTATAACTACTATTGTTTCGATGTGCTTACCGGGAGGGTCATTAGTTATTAGGGACCTGACAAGGTGCTGTACGACTAGTGATGACGTCATGCGCGCGCACATGTGTCATAAAACATCTCACACCTCCGCTCGCCGCCGTCAACCCCTACAGGTAAAACGCGCTTTGCATATGCCGTATGTTTCTTGCACCTGCACCCGTCATCCCCATTCTGTGCACGATTAGACATACACACACATACATACATTTACACGCATGTTGCCATCGGGGAAGGATTGGTACTGGTTTTGGAGATTTGAGGGGAACATGAAGCAGTTTGCAATGTGCTTCTGCGCGAGCCCGTACCGGTCTGTCTCCAGCGATCGATGCGACTGCGAGCTGCTGTCATGCCGGGTACGTGCCGTACATCACAGGAGCCCCACATGCCCGTTACGAACCTATGACCTCGTTCATTCTCACCTGTTTCAGAAAAAAGATTGTATTATCTGTATGTACTTCTTATGTCCTTCGGTGCTGCTGAGCCGAATCTGCTCGCCTGGTTTAAATCAGAGATGGAGATGGCTTAGGAAGAGCGATGCCTATAGAATGGGTGCAAGGGCAGGCTGCGCCCTCTGCTTTTGCGTGATGGTGTGTATTCTTTGTGCTGAAAAGGGGGATGCAGGGCTTACGGCAAGAGGGAATATGCGGCCTCGGTAGAGGGGCGGAATGCGGGAGTGACGGTGTGCGCTGCATCCTTAGTCTGGTGCAGCAACAGCTCCAGTAGCAGCCACACCAGCAGGACCCCTTTCCTACGATCGCTTGTGTGCCAGTGCCATAAAAAATATTAATGCCATCACCAGGCTGTATTGAATCGTTTCCGCCAGGCCCAATGTTTTTAGGACGGGTGAACAATCATGCGACATGCCCAAGCAGTGAAACTATTATTATTATTAGGTCTCCTGACGTACAGGTGGTTGTTATCGTACGGGTGGTAATTGCCGTTTGTTGTTGTGATAATGGTTTGCGGCAAATATCATATTTCCGCATGACATGCCTCATCCGGCAGTGCGTGTCTCTTCAGCTTCAACTTCATTTCGGAGGCTGCCGACCGGCGGGCCGCTGTCCCTATTTTAATATTAGAAATGGACGAGACGAGATAGTGGTCGGAGAAGAGGTGCGGGGAGGAGGAGGGGGTTGCCAACGCGATGCCGCCGCTGCCTCCACCTTCTCCTCCTCCTCCATCCGCCCACCCCACATAAAGCGCAACCTTCACCACCATCACCATCACCATCACCACGACCACAAGCATCTGCATCTTTAATACTACCACACCGATGTAACGAAGCAAAGGACGCCAACCCTTGCTGTTGCTGCTGCTGTCCCTCCCTGGACGCCTTATATCCAAGGTGCCTCTATAGCTGACAGACCACCAGTCCGTGAGTGGTACACTCGTACGCATTCGTGCAGTTCCCCGCACCTCCCGCTGAGAGAGGGGCTCTCAGAGACCGTCTGTCTGTCTGTCTGTCTGTCTGTCCCGCACTTCTCCTCCAGCCGAAGTGTTTGGTGCCCTCGGGGGGGGGGCCTCTGCAGACTCAGGGAGGTCCCTCCGGCGGCGTCAGGGTCCGTCCCTTCCTCCCCGACATCGACATGGGTGGTGGGGGGCCCCTGTACCCCGCCCTGGTACGGGGGTGCGGCGTGTGAGGTACCCCGGGAACTCCAGAGGTACCAGAGAGCACCTACCACCCACACGTCACATCACACGCCCGAAGTGCCATTGAAACATTTCGCCATGACGCAGCATGTCAATGACGAACAGTTGCAATCGCCGAAACTGCAGATTGCAGCGGAAGGAGCACTTGAGGACCGCTTACCGCTACAGGCGCAACAGCAGCAGCAACAGCAGCAACAGAGCAGAAGAAGAAGAGGAAGAAGAAGAGGAAGATATTCCAAGTAGTGACAATCCGTGCATCGTTACCAGAAACTGCCGGGCCCACCTGATGACAGCATTTCCCCATCTCTACCCCCCCCCCGGACAGACCTGGATCCCCACATGTACTCCACCGCCGTTACATCCTAACATTCCTCTTATCGATAACTATATAGCGGGCCACCTAGCTAGCTAGAACCTCACCACCGCTATACATATATGTTTTAATCGATAGCTGGGTGCGTAGCTAAGTAGCCACTAAGGAGCTGAGGAGGCAAAACAACAATTAAACCAGCGGAAGGTAAAAGTACAGTGAAGACATTTTTGCGCTTCCGCTCGTGGTTCGTCGTTTTTTGGGACGTCGTACATGTCGTACAGACCGGGATGATGACAAGAACATCGTGCAGCAGACAAGAGCCCTGAACGTTTAAACTCCTCCCGCGTTCCCCCCCTGGTTTCACCTCCTCCTCCTCCTCTTCCTCTCCTCTTTACCACCACCATCACCATCACCATCACCACAACCACTATGGCGGCCCCACCTCCCAAACAAGTACCTGCTTCCTACACAGACTCTGTAGTGGTAGTAGTCGCGATTGCCTCTCTCCCTCTTTCTTTCGCGACGTCCAGGCCGTGATCTCCTTCCGCCTCGTCATGCACAACACCCAATTAAACGAGGGTTCGTTGAGATAATGCAATTAATGGCCACTGCCATCACCACCACCTCCACTGCGGATGTGCAGACAACGTTTTCTCCTCCCCCCTCCGTCTCCACGAGGCAGGGTTAAGCGCTGAAAGCGAGGCGATGCTTGTGACGGGAGGGATGAGAGGAAGAAGGAAGAAGGTCGCTCCACTCAGCTGCGGTTGGTCGCACAAGCGTGCAAAGCACCAGCCCGAAACAAGGATTGCAGATCGTCTAGAGCGCTGGTAATACTAGGCGTTGCGCATTAAGCGCAGGTCAAGGGAGCCGCTTCCGTGTCGAAGATACACTTCACTGGTCAAGGACTGTGCTGTGAAACCTATGCTTCCAAAGTTAAAGGCCCGCCGCTTACGCGACGCGAAAGTAGCCCATAGCACGGTGCTGCGTGGGGGGAATACAAATTTGCTGATGATCCACAACAAAGCGCCTAGCTCACGGTGTTGCTCCTTGGCTGCCAGCGCCGGCATCGGCTACCCTTTTAGGCCCCTCCACCTCCACATAGGGCTTCAAGGCAAAGGTAGCCAGATCCGCTGGGACAAAATATCGTGGACGTAGATGCGGCAGCACCTGGAAACGGCCTTGCGCCATAAAGCCGACCTTCACATCGCCTCGATCGATATGCACTTTCTTCACCCAGCTGGCGGCCTTGACCTGCCAGCCCTTCCGTAAGCCCCTCTCCTTTGATGCTGCTTTCTGTATCAAATCTACGACAGCCTCCTTGGTGAGTGCTTGTTGTTGCCCGGCTCCAGTGCTGGCACCACGAAGCAACCTCGTAGCTATAGAGCGAACGGTCATCAAGATGAACGAACCACACGCAAGGATTGTGCACTAACGGCTAAGTTTAGAGTGCGCAACTCCCAGACGGCCGGCTGAAGTTGTTGTTCAAGACTGTGGCTTTCTGTTTACCAGTAGACTAGTAAAATTTGATTTGTAATCAAATCAATTTTAAGACCTTCACATCGCATGGAGTTGAGCTTACCTGGCTATATGACGGAGAACGCTGACTCATCGAATTACGTGGACTTCTAATCCTCTACAGTAGCAGAAAAAAAGCCACCCTACCCGGAAACGACAAATCCTTCAGCACCCATCCCTCAGGCATGGCCAGGCCACCGCTTTCCCCAACCCCACCCCCCCACTGGTGCATGCCTGGACACATGGCGAGGCCAGCAGGTACACCCGGAAACAGCATGAAGAAGCGCATTCATGCACACTCCTGAGCACGTACATCATTACGTCGTCAATGGCCACAGTAATGATTATGAGCTGGTCCGAAAGCAATGATTGCTTCATGGGTTCGGCCCCACGCCGTCCCAGGCCGCTACATCCCTGAATATGTACCGGCCCCGACAGTTACATGAGGTAGAGAAGGCGGAGGCGTTCTACGACACCAAGTCAGACAACGGAACCGAAACAGAACACACACACACACACACACACACGCACACACACGCGCGCGCGCGCGAACGCGCACAAGCTCACAAGTTGTGCATGCGACTGCTCCTGCCCGCACTGCTCGAGGCTCGGGTCATTGAACAACAATGCATACAAGAGGACGCAAGTACGGCATCGCACGAAGAAACTTTATTCAAGTCGTACGCTTTTTATAAAGTGGCCCCAACCGCGCGGAAGAGATAACGCGCGGAAGATAGAAATGCAATACATACAAAGAGTCACCGAGTCCGAAAGGCCCCGCGAGCTCCGTACGACGCCGTACAGCCGTACGCTCACACGCAGCGGCGCCCAAATACACACACGCTCACGTCAAGATCTTCCCCAATCCCTCCTCCATCTCCCCGATGCGCACGCGAGGACCGCAGACCGCACCCCTCGCGAGGCCCCCCTTCCCCCGGCCCCTCCACAATTACCACGATCGACTTGAAGCCGACCTCGAGACCGCAAATGCCGGCACCAAAGTCCCGGCACCACCAAAACCCAATTTCTCCTCCCCCAAAAACCCACCAGCACCGCGCACCCCCACCACAATACTGTGCTGTCACACATACATACATACATACATATACATACCCCTACGGCAATACGTACACACATGTATCACGCATGCATGTAGATTATTAAAATCAAATCCAGCTCTTCCCCCACGGACGCACGCCCCCTCTTCGGCCCCGGCCCCGTTTCCGCTGGGCGCTGCCGTTGCCCCCGCCCCTCCCTCCCCTCCCCCTCCCCTCCCCCTCCCCTCCCCCTCCCCCGCCTCCAGCAGTGTGCACCACTACTTGCCGCTGTCCACAGCCACCCCCGCATCTGACGCCGCCATTGGAGCCCTGGACGAGGAGGAGGTGGAGGAGGTGGTGATGTTCGCTGCCACGGAGAGCGGCATGCAGCCCAGTCCCAATTCGGAGCTCAGAATGGCACACACCTGTGTGGTG